AACAATTGTTTCTAATCAGCTGGCAGCATAATACCTATTGCATGGAACTCAATGTAAGAGCACCACAATTAACGTCACAAGGTTCAAGAACACTTTGAAGAACACAATTCTTCATGTGTCAATCTAACGAGATTCCACGTATCAATTTCATGGCAATCGAAACCGATGGCTATTTCCATCACCTACACTGGAATATCACAATATATCTCCCAAATCCCAACGCATTGTAACTCAACCAATAAGGTTGGTACTACAGAGCAAAAAAAATGGCTTGGACGTCCACAACTTCACCGGTGAAGTTTTACAGTAGAACAAGTCTACCTACAGAGGAACCTATCTCCCTCAATGACTCTGGCCTGTGGGTTATCACCAAGCAAACAATTATTTGGATGTTGCTCTGGGCTCCGGCCAATAAAACAAGAAGGATACTGAAAAGAGCTGTATCAGCTACCCCTACAAACTGGTGAGGAAAAAAAATCTAACCATGTGTCAAAAGAGCAATTTTCTCAAATTGGTGGGTGCATTTGTGTCAGGAATTTAGTAAATACTAATGAATTGGTCCCAAAAAAAATCATAACCCAAATTTCCAACATAAGGAGTAGTAGAAAAGGAACCATCAGCACTTCAGATCATCTGAAGCAAGCCACTAACGTAATAAAGGGATTCCCATAAGGCACAATAAACAGATCCTCCTGTTTGTTAGCCTTCTCAGCTGCTAGATCTCACGAGAACTGAGCCCCCCATCATCATCCAGCCATGGCCGGATTCCCCCTCAGATCCAACAGCAGCGGCACCAGATCTACCAAAAAAGGGGATAGATAGGGAGAGGTAGGCAGAGCAACAACTCACTCCGCTGGCGATCATGACGCCGGTGACGACGGGGACGAGGGTGAGGTAGGTGACCCAGGACTCCCTCTTGACGGTCATGATGTAGGCGAAGACGGCGGTGAAGAAGGGGGTGGTGGCGCCGACGGCCTGGTTGAAGGAGACGGGGAGGTAGCGGAGCGAGACGTTGCCGGAGACGACGGAGCCGCAGAAGACGAGGCTGAGGGCGGCGATCTTGGCGAGCTGGACGCGGGAGCGGACGAGCTGCATGGGGACGACGCGGAGCCAGGCGATGGCGGCGTAGGAGAGGAGGGCGCAGGCGGACATGTGGCACATGGTGAGGAAGATTGGGTACTTGAAGCCGTAGTTGCTGAGGAGGTACTTGTTGAGGAGGAGGACGCCGATGTTGGAGGAGTACCAGGCGGTGACGAGCCCCACGGTGAAGAAGCGGCCGTTCGGGAGGCCGCCCGCGCCGCCCGGCGACGGCGCGGCGCCGCCCTTGGCCGTCATCGCGGGCGCTCGGTGGTGGTGGATCTGAGGAGGGAGGGTTGAATTGGTGGGGGTAGGTCGGGGTCGCGGGCTTGGCTTCCTTGCCTTCCTTCCTTCCTTCCTCCGGGGCGGAGGCGTGTGCGTGAGCCTGCTGTGTTTATGGAGATGGAGGTGAGGAGGGAGGAGACGCGCCTCCTGTCGGTGACTCGGTGGATGGACGGAGAACGGTGGCGAGGAGGCGAGAGCGAGATTTCTTTCTCGCTTCCTTTTTACCTGTTTTTTTAATTATATAAGGCTTTTTAAGGCTGGTTTTGGCTTAGGTTTATTTATTATTGACCAGTAGTAGTAGTAGGCACTGGAGTAGATAATGTACTAGACGGAGTAATTTTTCAATGCTGCTGTTTAGATTAGACGTAGTCATGCGTATATACCTTCCCAGCCTAAATGTACATTGTTTGGTCCTTCGTATCCTGCGAATTTTGCTACATAACATTTAAAATTTATATAATTTACTGATAGACATCGAAAAAATATGTCACGACAAAACGACAAATGACACTTTTGACTCAATTAGAGAAATGAATTCGAGAAAGACGAAAATGCCCACCACATGCTTCAGACATGGTGTTAGAGTGAAAATTTATAAATTATGCATACATCGTATTCCATGTTCACTTTAGGCTTAGCTCAAAAGCTTTTGACCGTAGGAGTATTTTTGTCTTTTTAAAGAATTTTTCGCTCTAATCGAGTCAAAAATAACCTGCAACAAATTACCTATGGTTTTATAATGTGTGGCACCGTTCACTTTTGATGTGATGTTTGATCATTCATCTTATTAAAAAAGAAATATGTAAATATCATTTATTTTGTTGTGACTTATTTTATCATCAAAGAAACTATAGTCTTAACTTATACTTTTACATGTGTATACCAAATTTATTTATTTTAATAAAACGAATGGACCAATGTTATATGAAAAGTCAATGGTGTTATTAAAAAACAAAGGTAATAGTAAGTTGTCATAGGGTAAGTTTATATATACCTGAGATCTAAAATGCATCTATAGTGATATTCGTCTTTATTAGTTATCTAAACTAAAAGGATTATTCTTTATAGCTAAGCTGTATACCTATCTTTAAGTAATGTTATATACTTATATCTTCATTTAGTTTTTCTTTTAAGCTAAAGTTTCGAGGACCAAAACCTAGCTCTTTTCCCCCCTCAAAACACATACGATCTGGTCGAAATCCACTTTCTCCTTGCAACCCCATTGTAATCGTAGCAAAACCCCATTGTAATCGTAGCAAAGGTATATATGCCTCACGATAGTACTAGTGTGCTTGGTCGTACTGCACCACCAACGGTATAGCTTAGCCTCTCAGTGATCACTACCAATCCTACCGCCGGTACTGGATCAACAGGTCAGAAGTTTGGCAGCAAACCCCAGTTGGCGATGACCTTATTATGTTCGGCAGCAGAGCATGACAAAAAACACCAAAACCCCCCAAGTCCCCAATTACTCCTACCTAAACTTCGCCATGGTGGACGTGCGCCCGCGGCAAAAACCGATCGAGTGATTGCCTGCCTAATTCGTGGCCCCTGCGGTGCGGACTCGGTCGCTTGCTCCACCGATGGAGCAAAGCAAATTGCCACCCCGATAGCGATGGCGAGCACACTACTACCTGGTTGTGGCGGCGAAGCGGTCGCCGCGTGCCCCGTTTGCGTTTGGTAGAGCGCGTGAGCGAGCCGCTTCCAGCACAGACGAAGCCCTCGTGTTAACGTTATCAAACAGCGACGTGACGTGTCCCGGATATTTGTGCTTCGTGGTACTAGTAGTGGTGGCTAGTAGTAGCAGTCACCTGTAAATTTCTGCGTTGGCGCGGTCGTCACCAGCGACAGACTCTCCGTACCAAACCACGAAATGTACAGCTGAACTGTAGATGATCAGGGGGGGTGGAAAGCGAGGAGAAAACCGGTCTCGAGACGAGAGATGAGATCGGTTCGCTTTTTGCCAGCAGAAAAGCGGCGAGCCTCGCAGGCGAAAAGCAGGTGAGAGAGATTGGCATATTCCGGATGCTCCCGCAGGGAGGGAATCGCGCTTCTCTTCCTCGTGACCTCGTCCCCCATACTCCCATGGCGCGGCTGATGATATAATTAGACGATTTTTGTAGTGTGCAAATGGAATCATGGAATCGGCTTGACTAAAAACGCAGTAGCGCAAAGGAAGGTAGAAAAAGGTGCAGGCTTTTGCAGTGCGGTGTACGGTTCTCAGAAATGAAGACGATCGCAGAAACTGCACGCGAATGGGCTGCATCGGTCGACGGCGAGGGAGACCGTTTCACGCGATCCGAACTCAAGTCACGTGTGAGTGTGTGATTAGTGGCGTCGAGATGAGCCAACGAACCATTGACCATGTTTTTGTTTCTTTTTTCTTTCTTCAAAATCGGCGAGAGAGAGAGAGAGAGTTTACAGAGAACAAGCAGGGAACGAGAGTTCACTGGAAACAAATAGCAAAAGAAAATATCTCTACCATGTTACTCCCCCTGTCTTAAAATATAAGCATTTGTAGCTATAAATCTCAACAACTGTGTTCAGATTCATAGCTAAAAGTTGTTATATTTGGAGACGGATGTAGTAATACATAATCATTCTCCTTTGCTTTTCACCCTATTCCACTAAAAACCGCTAAAAAACGGTTAGAAAAAACCAACCGAGAGAAGAGGTATATATGGGAGAAGAGAAATTTTTCAACCATGTTCGCCCGATCCGTCCAGAGATAAATAATGGAGAAGAGAGATAAAATAAACCATCTTCATCAGATTTCATCCCGTTACAACACTACTCCCTTTGTCCCATAAAAATCAACTTCTAGTTACGAACCTGGACGTAACGTGAAGTTGGTTTTTATAGTACGGAGGAAGTATTTACCAAATCTTGTCATGTTGACTTGTGTTTATAAAAGGGAGTACTTATTTCGAACATATGAAGTCTACGATAATTCAGTACAAAATTATTAATTTCCTACCGTCCCATACTAAGTTCAATTTTGGCTCATCTGCCTTGTCCCAAAATAAGTTTATTTTTTTGTTATCATTCCATCGGAGTTGGTGAGAGTAAAAAAAAACTTGCGTTGAGAATAGATAAAGTGGAGAATAGTTATATTGGAATTTAATAAAGTAAATGTATTTTAGTTCTTTTTATTTTGTATTGGTAGTATATGAGATGGATTAAAAATGAACATATTTTGAGAGTGGGAATATGAAATTTCAGGAGAACTACTCCATTCCTAACAGGGCCGGAAGGGTTAAGACCCAGCAGTACTAAAATGGCAAGTTGCTTGTGACAGTTATCAGTCGCATCTGATGGCAGTGTAGCTCCGGAGCTGCAAAGATCGCCTCTGAAAACATGCAACCATAGGGAATTGGTAATTCCTGAGATATTTTTTGGCAACTTGGATGAAATAACAAAGATCCCAGTGCAGAATCGTGTTAGTCCGGAAGCACATGCCCTGGCAGCTGGAATGTTTCTTCCAGCGCAGCCAGAGAGAGAATATCACCTACTCACCACTTGTCCAGAGAGAGAGAGAGAGAGAGAGAGAGAGAGAGAGTATATTGATTAACAAGCATATTCGTCCTGGAAAATACGACTAGTATACAGTTAAACAACTCAGCAATTAACCAAGTAGCTTACTACAAAAATGCAACTCGTTGACCTGCCAATCCGAAGTAAAATGTAACAAAGGACTGCAAATTTTCTGCCTTAGGCAGAAAGTTTGGCTTAGGTTTGGCCAAACCAGTACAAACCGAACCCCCACATTTGTCCTTCCAATACCGCCATAAGAATTTCAAAGACACAGCAAATAATTTTGAGGTACTGTGCCATGTTGGCACGAGGGAAACATGATTGAACTATCTGCTACGAGCTCACGACTAAGAGTCCATGAGCACATACAGGACAAGAAAATACAACAGTTGGGTGGCAAGCCGACTGAAGGGTTTGACCAGCGCATCCCCTGGGAACGAGCGAAATTGTTCTACACCACTACCTATAACCACCGGCACCTACCAAACATTCAACCCTTTGAGCTCTACCTCTGTTGAACATGATTGCTTAGAAGAACATAAGTTACAACATAAGGACTATAGGGCATGGATGGTGGTAAGTATATCACTATAAAGCTCTTAGTAAAACGTAAAACCCACTATTTTGTTCTTTTCCATCTTCTAACCAAGTCACATGCAGCTTCCTTGCCGATAATACATGGATATGCTTTATTGCTCTTCAAATTAGCATCAGTCTAGAAATTATTGATGACTTCCCAACTCGCTGTGAAATTGACAGCCCACGCTCAATCCATCCCTGGTAATCCTGCATTACAGACAAATCAAATCAGTTCCCTCAACAAACAATGTCAGCTTATTTATGAATTATGACTAGCGAATTTTCCACGGAGTTAGACTCTAAAAGTCGAATTGGATTTGATACTCAAATCTTAGCTCCTGTTTCCATAGATACGATTATTTTGTATACATAGATTTAAAAATAAGAATTGTATTTATAATGGAAAATTAGATGTGTGACATCACATCTTTGAATGCCCACAAGTTGCCACTAAAAAATATTAGGTAAGTTGTTTCATCTTTTTTTTAATGGTCATCCAACCATCATGAGTTCATGACATCTAGTAGTACCATTTCTCGCATATTCAGAATACCCAAACACTCCTGAATTTGTTGGATACCACCTCCAAAAGCCAAACTTAGCAAATGGACAACATCGTCCAAGATTACAGACATTAACACACTGGTCATAACACTTATTTGGTAATAAAACTTTAAACTCGACTCAAATTTGAGAATTCCAGTTCCTCTCGTTTAATCTATGACACGTTTTTCTTTTCTTCATGACATGCAAAATAAGAAGATTAATGATAACCACATCTGACTTACCTTAGAATCTTAGATTCCCTTAGTTAGCCTCTGCCTAGGAGTTCAAATAATCTAGCTCTACTCAGACCAAAGTAAGCAAGCCCATGGGGACAATCTGCTGGTGCATTTTACCAGCAACTTGTCCTAAACAAACCCCATCCAAATAGGTCCAAAGTGTTGCATGTTTCCTACTACCTCGGTCCTAGAATATAAGGAGTTTTAGGGTTGGACATGGGTTTTCATAAAGTAGGTGGAATTAAATGTGGGAAGGTTGTGATTGGTTGAGAGGAGAATATAGGTGGAGAAGTTTCTATATTCTGGGACAAATTTTGAAAGCTAGAAGTTGTTGTATTTTGGGACTGAAGGAGTGCCTTTTACACTCGAATTAAAAGGGTTGGTATTTTCTACAGCAAACAATACGGAGTAGATAGCAAAAGGCAGATATGCATAGTCATTACTTACTAGCATGTGATATGCAGAAGGTGCTTGCTATTTAAGCTTCATTTACATCTGTAGGATAGCTTCCAAGGACTCTTAAAAAGGTTGCAAACTCCTGTAAATAAAACAAGATGAGTCACACTGTTTGCTTGACACAAGGTCATGCGAATGAAGAAATTGCACCTTCAAATTTCCAAGAGCATTCTGAGTTTTTGGATCAGCCATTGATGCCTCAAGGTCCATATAGAAGAGGTAGTCAAACTGCCTGGTTCAAACCAGGATCAAAAGGGTTAAGAAGATATAAACAACACAAAGCAGTTCTCAGTTTTTTTCTTAGGTCTGGAAAAAAAAAACTTAAGGAAACCAAAACGACAAGTATAGCAATCATTGGGTTGTTATCTAACTTTGACGGTGTGGAAAAGCTGTCGTCAGTTATACGAAGAGGCCTTTTCTTGTGTGGGCGGCTTTCTATCTGCAGCCATTCATCAAGGAAAACACACTGACAGTAAATTATCTCTACAGAACGCATGCTGCATGCAAGTTACAAAGAAAGGCTATCTGACATACCTTGGTTAGGTTGATTTCCCTCAGTGCAAACACCCCAAGTGCCTTAAAGAGTTGCCCAGGTCCTTCTTCAAGTGAAAAGACTATGCTAGTCTGAAAATCAAATGACCATAGAAATCAAGCAGGCTAACTTCCCCTTTTGTGAGGGAATGGACAACTAGGAGTATGGAAAAGAGTTTTCACTGTAATATGTACCTTGAATGGTTTATCGGTGCGAGGTATAATTGGTTCTCGAGCCAGCATCATAAAACGGGTAACATTATCTTTGTCATCCTAGGGGAATAAACAAGCTAATGTTAAGAAAACAGTGGAACAATTTCTTCCAGATTAGGATGAAATCACAATACCTGAATATTTTCAGCAAGAACATTCAGTCCATAAAGTTCAGCTGCCAGTGAACTGGCAATCGCACCGGTATCTTGGAGATTTTGTTCTGCTACAGTCTAGGAAAGAAGGATCATGTCATGATTAATGCTAGGGAATGCACTAAACGGATCCTTTAAATCCTATCCACAAAAGAATAAAACTCAAAATGATTGAGCTAGACAAATCAAAGCATAGGGGTAGAATGGAGAACCACTGTACCTTTGCTGCACCAGCAGTATCATCAACAGCTTCTCTATGTTCAATTCCGAACTCTGTCAATGTGTGCTCACATTGTGCAAGAGCCTGAGAATTAAAATAATATGTCTGCATGTTTAGTACACCAAAAAATAAAGAATATTTAGGCCATCTTGTGCAAGAGTTTGACCTGGGGATGGCTCATTGCACTTTTCAAGTTTTCAATCTTGACACCGGGATTGGCTAACAGGCAATGACGAACAGCAAGACGGACCTCTCCAACAATGTGCAATCTATGACGAAGTAAAAGGTCAAAGTTCCTATGTATGCTACCACCCAATGAATTCTCAAGTGGCAATACTGCCCTGTCAGCTAACCAGTTTTCAACAGCCTGTAAAAGCAATAAGGGGCATCAACGCACATTATGTCTATTTGCTTGTGTACAATAAAATTTGACTGCAGGTGATTTACAGTTGATAGATAAAAGTATAATAAATATGATAGAAATTCTCATAAAAAGTTAAAACAAGCCCTTCATTTGGTGGATCCAAAAGTTTAAAAGCTTAGAACGAATAGGTGATCTCTCAAATCCTCTGTCTAACATAGGGACAGAGATCTCAAGATCAATTTGTGCTAATAGAATATGAAATCAAGCACCTCAAATATGGACTTCTTTGGTTTGTTTGCAAAACAGAACTAAAATAAAATGTCAAACTTGGCTGGGAAAATCAGCTAATTAAATCAAATACTCCACACAAGTAACATTTATGGAGTACATAATTCACAAACTTCAATGTACATAAGGTAAAAGGGAAACAAGAACACATAATGTTCATAACATTACTCAGTCTTTGATACATGCCTGTCCAAGTGTCCACCAAATACTATTTTTAGAAAATAATATTTTGTTACACAACAACTTATTAATATCTGGTCATTATGTAAGGACCCTTACATGCCTATTTCCAGAACTTGACATGCCAAGTAGCACTGAACACTGTCTAAAAAACTTTTAAGGACAAACAAAGGATTGTTCCTTTGCATAACAATGTGATAAATAAGCATAGTAGTGTTATACATACTAAAGAATCTTTACTAAACTCTAACTAACAAAGATTTCAACCGATGGATATAATTAGTGGTTAGTTATGAAAAATCAAGATATAATCACAATGTGCACATCCGTTTTCTAATATGTTTGTAGACATTTTTTTGTACGTGTATCATCTTCAATGCTGCATCTACAGCATACATAAACAGCACACAAGGTGCAATGTTTTCCACTGCAATACCTTGAATGCAGTATCGAAGTGCTCACAGGGCACAGTCTGGCAATTTGGGTACGCCTTCTTCGCTGCCGCCTCGCTGTACGCTCCAGGGCAACCCTGAGATATTCATCATCAGAACAGAACAACGTTTAGATGAACAGACAGAAACACAGTCACCCACGCACAACCAGCCACGGCCGCACGGAGACTGATACGAAACGGGACTGCATAAAACACGCGCGTTTCGTCGAGCACCTGGTAGGCAACCTTGAGCCCCTCCCCGCTGACGCCCATCAGGTCGGCGCTGGTGAGAGGGCCTGACCACACAACACAACACAAATCAGAACGAGATGATAGCAGAACCCTCAAACCCAACCCCCCCGAAATCGACTTCGACAAACGGAAGACGCCGCCGGCGCCGCCGCCGCCGCGTCGTCACTTACGAGGCAGCCAGTGGAGATCACGGGAGGCGGGGGCGGGGGAGTCCGGTACGGGCACGGGCGGACCCGCGAGGCCGTCTACGCCGGCGGGCCCCACGCCGTTCACCACGTCCGGCCGCCGCGGCGACGCGGAAGAGATGGAGGCCGAACTGGCACCGGCGTCGGAGGCGGCGGTGCAGCATTTGATGGAGGACGCGCGAGCGGCGCGTCGGGGAGACGACGAGGAGGAGGAGGAGGGGCGGGTCCGGGCGGGGAGGAACGGGAGGCGGAGGCAGGCCGTGGAATCCATCGCCGCCGCGCGCGGCGCGGTGGGGAAGGGGAGCGGCGGCGCGGCGGTGTCGGCTCTCGGCGTGCGGTGCGGGTGTGTGTCACGCGTGTGGCGCCGCGACCGCGCCGGGCAAAGATTTTTTTTTCTTTTCTTTGTTTTTTCTTTTCCACCGTTTCAGTATATGAATGCATCGGGGGGGCTCACAGCTCACTCTTGTTGACGACTTGACGATGGCAGGATGAAGTCATTTTCGTTTTTTGCACCTTAATAAAAGCCCATTTTATATCCAATAGAAAAAATTTCTAACAGCTGCTGTTTAACCCTAGTGATGCTTATATTAGCCGTCGTTTACAAACTTTGCACTTGACAAAAAAAAAATGCACGTTATGTTCGATTGGGACGTTAAGTTCCAAAAGCGAACTTTTTTTCATCCTCAGAAAGTTGGAATATGCACGCTTCTAGTCTAATCACTGAGAAGGATTATTGTATCCACGATTAGCCGGGTAACTACACACGGTCACCATGATGAACATTAAGAAAAAGGAACTTATACCAAAAATCATCTTGATTTTTGTCAACTTTTTTACTTGGTAGGGATACCTACTGTTATAATTATTGCATCCAATCATGAGCCCGGTTACTGTATTGTATCCAATCTTTTCTTATCTTATCTTATATAGTGAAAGCAGCAATCTTTTTTATATGAGAATACGTCAAATCATCAAAAATATATCAACCATTGAGTAGAGAGTTTGAATAATAGCCATTGAATCAAAAGTTACATATACATTAAAAAAACAATGGGATAAATGTATAGGAATTTCCAGAGGTTACTAGGGCCTCCTCTTAGACACATGGTACAAAGAGAGAGGGAGCAAAGATAATCAAAAAAACAAAAACCAAAAAGCTTCTAGTGATTTCTCATATAGTACGACTTAGCTAAATGAACGTGACTACACAGCTAGTGGTAGCTGGTTTGTCTAAACCAGCTACCACTCTATCTATAAGAGATATTATCTAACTATACTTCAAATACAATTTTCTCTTAAACTACTCATCCAATCTACGATCCGATTACACCGTTGTGTTTGTAATAATTAAACCTTTACAACAAGATCTCACATGATTATATTTTGATGAAAAATCATAAATTACTTTTATGATATGTCTAAATTACTTTTAGATTTCACTAAGTTACTTCTTAGACATACAAAAGTAAATTCAGTAAAGCTTAAAAGTAATTTACATATATTATAGAAGTAACTTATAAAAAAAGAAAGTAACTTTAATTAATACCTTTTTTCATTGAACAAATTATCATATATATAATTATCATATATATAAGTTACTTTTAGATTTGATTAAAATACTTCCTATACATTCATAATACTCTGAGGTGATTACTTTAATTATTGTTTTTAGTTAATTCCATAATTTATACTGATTAATTTAATTTCTAGATAGAGTCATGTTTTTATCTCTACAACGGATTTACTTCAAATGACATGCCAAAGTTGCATTCGTTTTTTCTAAGTTACTTCTATAATATATTATATGTAAATTACTTTTAGGCTTTACTGAATTTACTTTGGTATGTCTAAGAAGTAACTTAGTGGAATCTAAAAGTAATTTAGACATATTATAAGAGTAATTTGTAATTTTTCATCAAAATATAATCATGTGAGATCTTGTTGTAAAGATTTAATTGTTACGAACACAACGGTGTAATCGGATTATAGATCGGATAAGTAATTTAAGAGAAAATTTCGTAAGAAAAAAAAATACACAACCTAATAGAAAAACTACTTGTATGCATGTCTGTAACGCTACTAGTACTTCTCACGTAATTGTCCGCGTCGCTAGTTAAGTCTAAATCGAGATGCCTCTCGAAATAGATTTTGCGTAGCTAAATGTATAGTTAGCTAGACATAATAGAAGAAGGAAACCTCAGTCCCAACAGGCTGCGAAGAAACAACGATGGGAGAAGCCACCTGCGGGTTGGATGAAGCTAAACGTGGATGGATCTTTTGAGGAAAGAGATGGCAAAGGTGGTATTGGTGCTGTTCTTATGGACGGTGCTGGGAAGGTTATCTTTGTAGCTTGTGGGAAGCTAGATAGATGTGGAGAACCGCTGGAAGCAGAGATATTGGCTTGCAGGGAAGGGATTTGTATGGCGTTACAGTGGACGCTGCTACCGGTGTTGGTTGAAACCGATTGCCATGAGGCGATGAATCTAATACGATCCAAGCAGAGAGTGCTCTCGGAGATGGGATTTCTAGTCGAGGAGGTGCAGAGCCTCGTGACTGGACGAAGGGATATTAAACTCACAAAAGTTCGTTGTGATCAGAACATTGTTAGTCATTTTTTAGCTAATAAAGGTATAAGCGAGTCTTTAACCGCTTTCTGGCCAGATAACAATTGTAATTTCATTTCACATCTTTTAGATGTGGATGTTCCCCATGAGTAATATATCTCCCTTTTCCTAAAAGAAAAATCTGACATATATATGTACTATGAAATGTTTATGGTCACTCTTTGACGAGAAAGAAACCTTTCATTTTCGGCAGCAACATGTTCTTTTTCTCCTCTCAAATGTTTCTTATAGCAAACAGGAAACAGCTCGGTTACGGCATTTCTCTTTCACCGGTATCTTTGGTAACCAAAGTTACAAAGCGGTTTCATTTACGGCCGAAAAAGAAAAAGGAATAAGTTTACTTGAGGTCTCTCAATTTGTCACCGAGTCTGAAATTCGTCCCTGAACCATAATACTAGATATGACGCGTCCCTTAACTTCTAAAACCAATCCAAATAAGGTCCCAGGGCGGTTTTGAATGGTGGTTTTGGCTGAAGTGGTGGTGACATGGCGCAAAGGAAAAATAATAATAATAACCCTTGTGGGCCTTACGTATCATTGAAACAACGTCTAATTGGGTGGCGCCACGTCGGATTTTGACCGGAGGGGATTGACCCTGGTTGGAAGCGACGGCCGATGGTGTATGGCGGCGAACTGGAGAACCGTGACGACTTCTCACCGGTGTGGGCGTCGTTGTTGCCGCGTGCGGCCTTAGGGTCGTCGTCGTCGGTTGGGAGTTGGAAGCGGAAGACGTGGCACGAGCTGTGCATCTTCAGCCATGGCACAATGCACTTGCGTGGAACCTGTGCCTGTAGGGCGTCCCCGTGGCGTGCTCGCCAACGGCGTAGTCCTCACGACAGACGGTTGAGGCAGTTGCGAAGGCGGATGCGGAGTGGCCGGCGGTCACCTCCACCGTCGGCATCGTCTCCCTGGCCTCCTTCTTAGTTGGCAGCGTGCCCTTCCGGCCGACGTCGCCGTCGCCCAGCCACTGCATCAAGTCGTCCAACTCGGGGCCGAAGAAGTAGTCAGCCAGCGCCATGCCCTCGACATCCAGGCTTCCGCTGCTAGTGGACTGGGGACTGATGGCGAAGGATTGACGACGGCGGCCGAAGCATAGTGCGGCGGTGGTGAGGGAACGACACCACAACAGCGGGGTGAAGGCGCGGGCGTGGCGCGGCTGGCCGACGCGACACATCGCTGTTGACAGAAAACACGAGGCCTGGGAGATCTGCTTAACTCCAGTGCAGGTCCAAAGCTCGCCTTCAAATGTATGAGCGTGCCAGTTGATTTGATCCTGTAATCAACAAGAAATAGAAGCAAAGAAACCGCAGTTAAATCTATAAATGATAGCCGATCGGCTAGGTGCCGATGACATATCATTTATTTTTGAGCCGACGTCATATATGCATCGATCAGCAGTCATTAATAAATAAGGAAGGACTGAATCTACTTGATCGGCTGTAGATATTACCAATATATAATCTTTATATCAATATATACTTAAATCAAGTGATTGGGATAGATCGGTCACCATGCGGAGACAGTATAAATCACTTAGATCGAAATATATATTAATAATGAGACTATATACGTTCATAACATAGCCGATCAGATAGATCTAGCATGTATCGGCTAATACTCTGATACCACTCTATGTTAAGATATTAAAGTAAGTATAATATACTAAACAAAAGCATAATATACTTAAATGCAGCAAGATCTTAACGTAAAGGGCAGATTTAACATGTCAATCAAGCATATAGGATAAAAAGTAGTTAAATCAGGTAAGATCGGCTGAAACTCCGATACTACCCTAATCAGCAACCAAGAAGCGGGCTAGAGATTGAGATTCTAATCACGACTCATAAGATCAAACTTAACTGATGCAGCTATAAGTATGAAAAGAAGGACAATATCTAGACAATCAAGCCGTTGGATGTGTCATAGAGTGGTAGATATCCTATATAATCTAAGTCAACATCGGTATTTAACCTAATCGGCTGCCTTCTATTGACGGATGTTAGCCGATTGTAGGCTGGATATCGATATTGCCAAGGATTATGTAGGATATATGATAACTCAACAAATTACATCAACAAGATTAGAGTGTCATAAAGATGGAAGCACTAATCCCGAGAACGCAAGCCGCCATAACAAGTTTTACCTCTTGTTGAAGATCGAAACTGATTCAGCTCAACCCGAAAGCAAGAACTCGTCGAAATAAAACTAAAGCAAAAAAGGGTGGCGATGCGCCGAGATTGTATTGAACATGTGTGTTTAAAAGTTACATAGGGCTCGGGCCTATTTATACCCGAAAATTACAAGATATGTCCATAACGGACACGACTACTATCTCTAACAAACTCTAAGATACCATAAGTCTTTGCGGCAGACTTTTGCCCAAGCATATCTCTAAGGAAATTATCTAAAACATCCTAATTAATAGATACAATTGCCTTCTCAGGACTCTATCCATGTGCGGCAATCACCTTGAAACACCTCAACTCAACCCGACGTCATACACCAAGTTGCATTGTCGGAATCGGCTGCATCGGCTTACCTAGCCCGACTCAGACCCAGCCGATCCTAATCGTAGCCGATCTGGACTCCAGCCGATTCCTGCCCTGTTTCCGAACTCGATCTCCGCCTCCGACTTTGCTTCGATCTAATCTTCTTTCCCGATGCCGATATTACCAAATTTGGTTGTTAACAATCGCTACGGTCGTCGCTGTGGGTGTCGTCATCATCGTCCCTCGTGCGGCAGTGGGGAGAAGCGAACGAGAGGAAGTTGACGATAGACACGGAGTTCATGCGGCACGATGCTGTGTGGAAAGGTGCATGATGGCGATGGAGCGGGCGGTGCAACGACTGGCAAGGATGCGGGTGACGGCCGAACACGGGTAAGACATGAAGAAGATATTTTTCAGCGGTTAGGGAGATTTTTCTTCACAGACATTCTCTCGAGCAGGTGATGTGTGTGGAGAAAAGTGAGGGAGGGAGAGAGAATATGTTGGGAGGAAGAAGAGTTGGCAGCTGGCATGTAGGGTCCACATGGGTCCCACTCGCCACGTCAACCAAAACCGGCCACTATACTGCCAAATGACCAAAATTAATACGGTACTGTAAGTTAGGGGATGTATTATATTCGGTACTTCCTCCGTTTCATATTATAAGACTTTCTAGCATTGCCCACATTGATATATATGTTAATAAATTTAGATATATATGTGTGTTTAGATTCATTAATATATATATATATATATATATATATATATATATATATATATATATATATATATATATATATGTGTGTGTGTGTGTGTGTGTGTGTGTGTGTGAGAATAATGCTAGAAAGTCTTGTAACCTAAAACGGAGGGAGTATTGTGGTTTGGGGACAAATTTCAGACTAAGCGACAAATTAAGGGACCTAAATTGAACTTATTCCAAAGAAAAACCGTAGTAATACCCAAGCAGTCCCAGCATACTGTCATTGCTTTTCACGAGTCCCCAAGCACGAACCTAGTCTCCTGCGTCTACGTGGTCCATGACTATAGATGGCCATAAGGGCCGAGACCCGACGGCCTGGCCCACGGCACGACGTTTTGGCCCGACCCAAGCACGGCACAGCCTGACAGGGGTCGGGCCCATGCCGGTCCGGCCGACGGGGGTCGGGGCCATGCCTGCCCCGCCCGACCGCTAGGCCGTGCCTGGCCCCCACTCCCCACTAGCACGTTGGGCCGGCCCGGCAACCAGGTCCAACACACAAAGAATAGGGAGTAAAATAGACATCATATGCCATAGTCGAAAGAATAGGGACATAAAATAGACTTAATTTAGCTATATATATGTCAGCCCAAAGAAGAGGGACGAAAAATAGACTTGTTTAAGCTATACATATGTAACAGCCAAAAATAAGGGAGGGGCCGTGCCGGCCCGATGGCTGGTGGGCCGTGTCTGGGCCGTGCCGTGCCGGGCGGGCCTTATGGCCATCTATATCCATGACCTAAACAATTGTCCAAACAAAAAGGGAATAAGTTCACCGGAAGTCCCTCAACTTAACAGCGAGATTTTTTAAGGTCCCTCAACCACAAAACCAGAAATGTTCACCCCTAAACTCACTCAAACCGCTCACCCGAGGTCCCTTGGCAGTATACGTGGGTGGTTTCGCTGACGTGGCATCCTAGTCAGCAAATTTTTTTAATAAAAATACTTGGGGCCCACATGTCAGTTGCACATCTTTTTTTCTTTTCTTTTCTTTTCTTTTCTTCTCCTTCTCTTCTCTTTTCTCTCTTCTCTCCCGTCTTCAATGTGAGTGAGGCCGGCAGAGCGGCGATGGGCGGGCGGCAGGTCGCGCGACACAGCAGGCGAAAGGCGGCAGGCGAGCGCGGCCGGCAGGCGAGCGGGCGAGCAGAGAGGAAGGAAGCGGAGGAGGAGGAGGAATGGCACGGGGGAGGAGGAGGAATGGCTCGACGGCTGCAGTCGGCGGGCGGCAGCGGGCGTGCGACCGGAGCCATTCCGACTGCGGGTGAGCTCGGCCAAAGAGAGCGAGCGGCAGCAGGCGGCCGGAGCCATTCCGACTACGGGTGAGCTCGGCCACAGAGAGTGAGCGGCAGCAGGCGGCGGCGCGCGGCCAGAGCAGGCAGAGGGGCGGCGTTGGTGGCGGCAGTCGGCGGCCACAAAGGGCGAGCGGCGGCGTGCGGCCGGAGCAAGTGGAGGGGCGACGTCGGCGGCTGCAGGCAGTGGAAAGCGGTGGACGCGCACGGCCGCAGAGGGCGAGCGGCAGCGGGTGACAGCGCGCGGCTGCAGCAGGCGGGGTGCGCGGCGACGCAGATGGGGAGCGGCAGCAGCGCGCGGCTAGAGGCAGGCGGAGTGGCGGCGTCGGCGGGCGAGCGGCGGAGGGCGGAGCAGGCAGGCGGCGGCAGCGGGCGGAGCAGCAGCGGGAGAGGAGAGAGAGGGGGCCGAGCCGGCCGAGCTTCACTCGCGAGTTTGTCGGTGGCAATGGCGTCCCTCCGCGCGCTCCCCTGCTGCTATTGTTGCTGATGTTGATGCGGCTTCCTCCGCCGCCTCTCCGCCCGTGCCATCATCTCGGGCAGCTCCACGGCGTGGTCCCACACCCATAGCGACGACGTCCGCAGCGCCCCTCCCTCCGAGCGGCGGCGGTGACCTTGTCTCCCTCCACGTTCGCACGTCGCCGCCTGCCTGCTCCGCTCTCCGCCGCTCGCCCGCCAACACCGATGCTCCGTAGCCGCGCTCGCCTGCCGCTGCGCCTGCCTCCAGCCGTGCGCCGCTGCCGCTCCCCATCTGCGGCAAAGGAAAAGGTGATTGAGAAGAGATTGCTGACTAGGATTGTTGGCCCCACATTTTTTGTGTCACTTACATGTGGGCTCCACATATTTATTTTTTTATTTTTTGTTGACTAGGATGCCACATCAGTAAAACCGGACAAAAATACTGCCGAGGGACCTCAGGTGAATGGTTTGAGTGAGTTTAGGGGTGAACATTTCTGGTTTTATGGTTTAGGGACCTTAAAAAAATCTCGCTGTTAAGTTGAGGGACCTACGGTGAACTTATTCTAACAAAAAAAATCCCAGCGTATTAACTGGCCTCCGACTCTTGCCTCGGCCTCGACCGACTCTCCCGTCTCCTCGCGAGTTCACCCGCCCGCCGCCTGCGGCGATCTCCATCCAGCGAGCAGCGGCGCCGGCGCCGGCGTACCGCTGCTTCCGCCGCATCCTCTATCTCTGGTGAGCGTCCATCCTCTTCGCCATCCCTCCCTGCCAACACCTTTTTCTTTTTCTCGAATTCGCGTTAACCCTAGCTTCTCTGCTAGATCTGGAGGCGTTTCTCTTTGCCTTAACCTTGTTATCACTAGTACTAATAACAGTTTGTTTGTTCCTGAAGAGGATTTGGGGTTTCAACTGAACTCCCCCATGTCGCACTTTAGATCCGCCCCTGCGTGATTGTATAGTCACATGGTGCTTGGGCTCCGGTTTTTAATATCTGCTATATGTTGATGCTCATGCAACCTATAGGATTCTATAATTGCATTATTTTGATTCTTTGAAGTTATATAGAATTGTATGTAGATACGACGAGTCAGTTCTAAGATTACTGGCTAGACTTGGCTGAACTGGTTCTTTGTGAACTTTAGTGGTTGCATATATGCTTGTTGATATTGTCTATGCTGCTATGAGTGACAAGGCCTATCCAATCATGTCTTACCTCATCCTCTAATCTGATTACCCCTAAATTTGGGTCTATACTGTATGTGTGCGTTGTACTTACCAAGAACTTTTGTTTTGTAAGTTTTTCCTGCATGAAAAAAATATTCCCTAACTGTACAATGCATTTCTGCGCAAGTATTCATGCTCTTTTCAGTCATTCATATTCATTAGATTTTGAAAAGTACTGATGTTTCTTTGCTTTTGTTTTCAGGAGATGCCTCGCTATGATGATCATTATGGAAGCACACGCTTGTATGTTGGTAGACTGTCTTCGCGCACTCGTTCTCGTGACCTAGAATATCTTTTCGGCAGATATGGAAGGTAAGAACAGAACAATGGGCATTAAGAGAGCTTATTTCTCTGAAGTATAATGGATTTTTCTGGTAAAATTATGATAAGTCACTTTCATTTGGTGTAAGTGTAAAACACTAGTGCTGCGCTAACGCTTGCTTAACAGTTGACATTACAACTTGTTGGTACGTTCAAATTTCACCAAACAAATCAAGCTGTTTCCTATTAAAATTGTGACCTTTCCAAAATGTGGGTGCAAATCTTCGGTTGTGCTCAGCATAGGCCAGTAAAGCACCATATCCTTCCTACCCTTTCCCATTGGCCAGCTCATGGCAGGTCTTGGGTTCAGTGGTACCATACCGTCTCTTTTCAGCTACTTTGTGGACAGAGTTCCTTCAAGCCATTCAGTGTGACATTTTCTGTTATTTCTTTAAGTATGCTGTAGAAGTTTGACCCCCCAGGTCTTGTGTGTTTGACTTGAATGATCTTGTTGAAGGTTTTTCGGTTTTTTACACAACCCGGGAGGTCTGTGGTGGTCTGGTGGAAGGGGTGCCCTTGGTGGAATTGGTGGCCATTCTTTTTTCTCCGGAATTGGTGACCATTCTTCCAAAGTTTGTCGAGGACTTTGGTGAAGGGTGCCCTTGGTGTAATGTTATTGACTGTTTTAGTGGAAGTTGCAAGTCGGTGATGCATTTGAGTACTTGAGTCATGATGGCTTACTGTTTGGCAACCATTGGTGCAGAATACGTGAAGTGGAGTTGAAGCGCGACTACGCGTTTATTGTATGTGAATACTTCCCTCATTTTTTTATTGCGTAACTTCTCTCTTTTTAAGTTCTTATGAGGTGTATTTTGTTCACATATGAGTCCTATATTTTGCGACATCTATTTTACCAAACAGGAATTCAGTGATCCCCGTGATGCTGATGAAGCGCGGTATAACCTAGATGGCAGGGATGTTGATGGAAGCCGCATTCTTGTTGAGTTTGCTAAAGGAGTAAGCAGTTCTTTGGTTGCATTCCTAAGCACATCCTGATACTAATTTATTTTCTTCCTTCATGTCATGCTGCTGCTGAATTGATTATCTGTACTTTTGTTGGCTCTGATGTTCTTTTCAAAAAATTGTGCATGCAGGTTCCACGTGGTGCTGCTGGTGGTTCACGTGAATATATGGGGAGAGGACCTCCTCCAGGAACAGGTCGCTGTTTTAACTGTGGGATTGATGGTCACTGGGCAAGAGACTGCAAGGCTGGTGACTGGAAGAACAAATGTTACCGTTGTGGAGAAAGAGGTCACATAGAAAGAAACTGCCAAAACAGTCCAAGAAATCTCAGGTATTGATTGATACCGTTGGTCAGATACACTGTAGCACTCTGTTCTAAGGTACTATGTTTGAATTACTCAAGACTTCTCCAATACGTACTTGGTTTTCCAGGCGAGAGAGAAGTTATTCGCGCTCCCCATCGCCACGCCGTGGACGTGGTCATGGTCGTAGTCGTAGCTATAGCCGGAGCCGGAGCAGGAGTTACAGGTATGCTTCAAAAGCCACCTGCTCAAATTATTACTCTCCATGCTGTCTGTTCAAATCGCAGATATGCTATTGTTGACCTGGTACTTGTTTTCCCTTGGCCTGATTGTTTTACAATCTTTTTGTTACTATCAGCCGATCTAGGTCCAGATCCCTATCTGGATCTCCCAGGGGACGCAGAGATCGTGATGATAGGAGATCAAGGAGTCTTAGCTACAGCAGAAGTCCCAGGCGATCCATCTCCCCAGCAGCAAATGGAAAGGAGCGCAACCCCAGCCCGAATGGTAGGCGGAGTCCAAGGAGTCCACAGGATCGGGTAAGCCCACCACCCAAGGATAATGATGAGCGCAATGGTGACAGCCCCTGGGGCAGGGAGAACAGCAGGAGCCCATCTGACGGCTACCGTAGCCCTGTGGCTGCCAATGGGCGCAGCCCAAGCCCAAGGAACAATGGAAGCCCTAGTCCAATGGACAACAATAGCCGAAGCCCAAGGGACAACGGCAGCCCGAGCCCTAGGGATGGAAATGGTGATGGTGGTAGCCGTGGCGGCTCACGCTCGCCCAGAGCAAGCGAGTCCCCTGAAGCTTGAAATTTAATCCCAGTCTCTGGCGTTCATCTTGTGGATGGTCATGCTATGGTTGTAATAGTTATATTTCCGGTTTAAGACGAGATCAAGGAGTCTTAACACCTGAAAGGATTTGGTGCCCTTGGGGCTATGCTATATTGCTATTGGTGTGTAATGGATCGATGAACTTTCTATTAGCCTGCATTGTTTTTGCGGTCTGGTATCACCCTGAGATTGCAACTTTTGTTGCTTTGGTCGCTGAACAACGTTGACGACAGTTCTCTTTCATCTTTGTTGCTAAATGTTCCTGGAGACAGTTCTCTTTCATCTTTGTTGCTAAATGTTGCTGGTGTAGCGCTCAGAAGCTGCCTTGAAGTTTGCATATCATGTTCCCTCGTGGCAACGCATGCGTGCATCCATGTTAACAGACACGTTTTTTTCTCGTGTTTCTGTTCTTTTACACGAAATGAGAGTGTGGTTTTCTATTGGTGAGAAACAAGCCTGGAATCTATCCCTACACAATATCGCCGGGAGCCGGAGTATCCCGTCAACTTCATTGGCCCAGTATCCTATTGGGGAATAATCCCGTCTGCGGAGCAGCATATTTTAGGGCGTTTCAGAAAAGAAAAGGTTCATCCTACACGCTGCTAATACAAAACATTATCCCCTTAAGAACATTAAACACTCCCCTGAAAAATACTGAGCATTATGATGCGAATTGATAATTTACTATCGATCAAGCAAATCATTCTCCGTGGGCCTCGATGTTGTCGCGTTTCACGGATTCTTAACTCAGACGGGTGTCACATCTCTTATAAGTCTATTACTACTCAATAAGAATATCATAATCTACCAAATAAGAATGCCAGGCATGTATGATTGTTCGTAACAAAGCATAGCAAAAGGCTCGGCTCGCAATCATGTGACCTCGGTTTCTAAGCCCTCCTTGTTCCAATCATCTGGGCCATTAGTAGTCTAGTACACATCAATTGGTTAGTAGTACACGATTGCTCATCGACCGAGCCCTCTTATTCTTCTTAATTACTTGGGATAATGAAGTGCCAAATTGGGGGCACTGCACCATCAACTCCTTGAAAAACAAATCTGCATCGAGCCGCCCTGTCGCTTTCTCTCGCAAACTCCTCACAGAGTTACCAGTGATAAGTATCATCCTCGGTGCTTCGTATCGACTGTGAATTAAAACTGTGCTTTCTCTGGTTTTTATTATTGGCACTTGATCCTGATGACATCATCTGCTTACCACACTGCCTAGTGTTTCTTCTGAATTTGTTCTTCTGAACTTACGCAGCAGCTTCAGTGGAAAAGGGTGCGTGGCGTGCGTTGCGTCGCCGTGGTCCGTGGAGGACTGGACGGGGACGACTCATTTCCTCGTGGAAGTCCAGAGTTTACGGTCTTACGGACCAAGCGCTCACTGTGGATATCAAATCGATCGTTTTCACTGTGGAAGAAAGGAGGATGTTGTGCTTCGCTTCCACCTGAAATCTTACGTTATGACCGTTTCGTTTCTATGGTTAAATAGGAGCCACGAGTCAATAACAATCAGTGGGTAACTTTCAGTAAAGCGTCAGTCTGTTTTTACTTAACACGTCAGTTCTCCATCCACTTTTGCCGTTCCCTTTTTAACCTAAAAGGCGTTATACTTGATGCTGTTGTTACTACTTTGGTCACGACTCACGACTTACCAACCTTTTTCAGGGTATTCTCAACTCCAATAAAAACGGCGAAAACTACACGTTGAAGTACTAGCAGGGCAACGAATCGCTCACGACACCCTGCACAACCCGACGGAAAGGTTATTCCACGGCACGAGTCACGCTCACGCGACACGCAGCATCACGCCAGGTTCTCAACCCGCTGTGGACACACGGGCGCATACGCGACCGGTCAATCAAACGACACCAACGCGCGCGTCCGCACCAAAGCAGTCGCGCGGCAAACGGACGGCGTATCACCGGGGAGTGAAAACGGTCGGAATGGTAGCATCTCCTTTAAAAAATTGATCCTCTCGATCGACTAGTAATTAATTATACTTATCATTTAAACTATTTAGTATTGATGTAAAAAAATAAAAGAAACAAAAAATTATAAATAGCTAAAAACGATACAATCAAATGTGACACCTCTTATACAGAAAAGATGTTCGGTTGATCGGAAATTTCCACGAACATTTTTACCCATAACCCACCAGCTGAACACCGGGGGATCGGCCGGCCCCCAACCCAACCCGACGGACCGCACCGCGTCCGGCTTCGTCCGCCTCCGTCGGTCCGTCCCCATCGCCCACCCCGGAAATCCACGCACCACACCCAGTACACCACTAGCATCTCTTCCCCCCCGTTGACACGCGTGAGCCCGTGACCCCCCCGCGTCGCCAATCAGTTTCACGGTTGGTGCGTGGCGTGGCTGCCGCATGTGCCGTTTGACCGTTGAAAACGCCCTCCCCCGCCGTCCGATCGCCACGGGCTCCCCCCATCCTCGCCGTCCGCTGTACCCGCCGACGAAACGCACGCGCGAAAACGGGTACAGGGTGGTGCAGAGTCTACGGGGGCTTCGCTGGCTTTCTTGCCACCTTCCTTCCTCATCCGGACCGAGGACTCCGTGCTCGATCGGGGAGAGAGCCACTAGCAGCAGCAGCGATCACAAATTGTGCCAATTCACAAACCGCCGCCCCCTTCCCTTTTTAATAGCTGCCTTCGCCTCTCGTCCCCTCTCCCTCATCGCCTTGCTGTCTCTGCGAATCGAGAGAGAGTCAGATAAGGTCGTTAATTAGGTTTGTCAATTCGGCTGCTTGCGGCGAGAGAAGAGGAGGAGGGATTAGGGATGGACGGGGCGCCGGTGGCGGAGTTCAGGCCGACGATGACGCACGGCGGCCGGTACCTGCTCTACGACATCTTCGGGAACAAGTTCGAGGTGACGAACAAGTACCAGCCGCCCATCATGCCCATTGGCCGCGGCGCCTACGGGATCGTCTGGTACGCACACGCCGATTCCTCTTTTCCCTGCCTGCCCTAGATTTCTTGCCATGTTAATCGATCCTTCGTCAGTTCCTTTTGATTGATTGATACGCGTCGATGAGTGGTTGAGAGGATGGAGTAATTGGGACCAATTACTAATCCCCTGTTTTTAGAGCAGGGATGATTAATTTGATTCTGCAGCTGAGCTGAGCAGGTTTTTAGTTAGTTATTATCAGCGTAGTGGTTGACTGGTTGGCATGTCTATTCGGAGTACTTTTTGGTGCTTTGTTTTTCTAATTTCTCTTCTGAATTCCGTGTGCTGGTGCCTACAGCTCCGTGATGAACTTTGAGACGAGGGAGATGGTGGCGATAAAGAAGATCGCCAACGCGTTCAACAACGACATGGACGCCAAGCGCACGCTCCGGGAGATCAAGCTCCTCAGGCACCTCGACCACGAGAACGTAAGCTCCTATTAGGCTATAACTAGTAGTGGAACTGAAGACTACGTGGTTAATTACGCAGCGGCGTGTACCTGAATTTGGTAATCTGTCACTAACTGCTACAACAACACGCAGATCATAGGCATCAGGGATGTGATCCCGCCGCCGATCCCTCAGGCGTTCAACGACGTCTACATCGCCACGGAGCTCATGGACACCGACCTCCATCACATCATCCGCTCCAACCAAGAACTGTCAGAAGAGCACTGCCAGGTGAGTGAACTGTGAGCGAATGATTTTTTTTTTCATATATCGATCAATCACACAATCAATCGATAGCTGCAGAAACATCAATTCGATCTTCCTCATGTCACGTATGTATGATTGCGGCCGTGTTGTTGCAGTATTTCCTGTACCAGATCCTGCGGGGGCTCAAGTACATCCACTCGGCGAACGTGATCCACCGCGACCTGAAGCCGAGCAACCTGCTGCTGAACGCCAACTGCGACCTCAAGATCTGCGACTTCGGGCTGGCGCGGCCGTCGTCGGAGAGCGACATGATGACGGAGTACGTGGTCACCCGGTGGTACCGCGCGCCGGAGCTGCTGCTCAACTCCACCGACTACTCCGCCGCCATCGACGTCTGGTCCGTCGGCTGCATCTTCATGGAGCTCATCAACCGCCAGCCGCTCTTCCCCGGCAGGGACCACATGCACCAGATGCGCCTCATCACCGAGGTGAGTGAATTAATCAGCGTAGACACTCACACGCTGAATTATGCTACCTGTTCTTGGGTCTCATCGTGTTGGGTCCATGATCAGGTGATCGGGACGCCGACGGACGACGAGCTGGGGTTCATACGGAACGAGGACGCGAGGAAGTACATGAGGCACCTGCCGCAGTACCCGCGCCGGACGTTCGCGAGCATGTTCCCGCGGGTGCAGCCCGCCGCGCTCGACCTCATCGAGAGGATGCTCACCTTCAACCCGCTGCAGAGAATCACAGGTGCGTGCAGAGGGCTAACCCAACTCGTGCTTGCTGCTCTGCTTCTAAACTACTAAAATTAGTACCCAAAATTACAAGTACTAATTTACTAGCTGAGTGTGTACTGTGTACAGTACCCTGTTCAGTATGCTACTGCATGTGTGCTAGTATAGCACTAGTATTTTCTATCGCACTGCTTCTTTGACTGGCGTATATAGCCGCCGGTGTTTGACCCATCCCCAACTATTTTTATGTTTACTTGCCGTGAACAGTCGGTCTCTTGATCTCGTCACTTTAAAGGGAACCCGTCTTTTAGCTGTCTTTGGGGCTACCAACGATTTTGCATGTTGCTCAAGTGACGATAAAAGACTGTGTTACTTTACTGTGTAGTAGTGCAGAAGTAGAATAGGTAGCACGTTTGCAGCCTCTGTCGGTTAGAGTTCAGTAGACCTTAGTTTTGAAACACTAGACAATAGCAGAGTGGTTTAGAAGGATGACAGAAGATTTGTGCTTAAGAACTATATCTCACTGACATCGTTCTTGACATGCAGTTGAGGAGGCGCTCGATCATCCTTACCTAGAGAGATTGCACGACATCGCCGATGAGCCCATCTGCCTGGAGCCCTTCTCCTTCGACTTCGAGCAGAAGGCTCTAAACGAGGACCAAATGAAGCAGCTGATCTTCAACGAAGCGATCGAGATGAACCCAAACATCCGGTACTAGATTGAATCACCATGGAAATGAGATCCCGTCTATACCTGCTTTGTACATATGATCAAGATTGAGAGCCGGGTAGACTGAACATTGCATTTGTTTGTTTGTTGATGTTCGAAACCCACATTCTCTGCAAGTTGTGGCTGCTTTGTATGATATATGGTACTATGTTCGAATAAAAGGGTTTGGAACTTTGGATTATGATATTATACTTTGCGAGCAGATTGATTTCTGTATTGCCAAAACCAAACGTATTACGACAGCAGCGATCCCTTTCGATAGTGAAACTACGAGGGGCGGCAGGACCAACTACTGAAGGCGTATTTTGTCTGAACTCTGAATCAGGACAGTTTCTTCGAACTGAAAATCCTAACAGATCCCAAATGATATTACCACTAGACAGTTGGGTTATTTTTGTTTCTGGGCCTGCCTTGCAAGTCGGACGAAATGGTCAAAAAAGCTTCGAAAGGGTCCGATCCTTGGCTCCTTTCGGTTCCTTTTTTGCCTGAAACTGAAAGGACCAACATGACTCCTTGTCTCTTGGCTCCTTGTGCTGCGCCCCACACTTCCTTGAGCCCCACTCGTGCCCATATTGTGTTGACCGAGTGCTGGCCGGCGCCGGCCGGACTGGAGCCCATCTGTTGAGGTTGAGGGCATTCATGTTTCATCAAGTTAGCACCAAACAAATGGGGTTGCCATGATTAATTATTATACCAACCCCATCTGGGAAATAAGAAATGGTTTGCCAAATTGCCATGATCATTGATGATATCAACACCATCTGGGAAATAATTTGCGTTGTACGGCCCCAACTCTTCTGATAGACACCATGGAAGAGCTGACTGAACAAAATCCCCAAAACGATCTCAATGGTCAAGCCATGTTTTGCCAAGTCCATCCAATGATGGGTGGGTTTAGTTCACATCAAAATTAAAAGTTTGGTTGAAATTGAAACGATATGACAGAAAAGTTGAAAGTTTACGTGTATAGGGAAAGTTTTGATGTGATGGAAAAGTTGAAAGTTTGTTGAAAAATTTTGAAATTAAACTCAGCCGATGTCCTGTCCCAATAAAAAACGAATTTCGTAGGTAGGATTGTTTTTTTTTGAACTGATGGGGTAGGCATGTACAGCAACACGGTCAGGCAGTCAGCCCGTGAAGCACTCAAAAGTCATTCCAGGCGGAATTAGAACGAACTAAAAATGAAGTGCAGCAAACAAGGATTGTACCACGGCAGGTTCAAGACAGTAGCAGGGGAAATCGGGAACGCAATACCGCATTTCATACCAACACATCTAGAAAGAGGTTTCAGTGGATGCAGCATTGCAGTTGAGCATAACAGCCCACCGAGACATTGACAACGTACTGAGGATGGCCATAGGCCGAACAAATTTTATTACAGAGGCGACTCACAGTGGTAGTCTGCTGGTTCACACTGGCCCTAGCCTAGATGCAAAACAAGAGTACCACGGGCAATGTACTAGCAGTAGTAGACTAGAAACCTCTTAAGCATCAGCGAACCTGAAATCACAAGAGTACAATTAGCTACCATGACCTTGTTGTCATGAAAGATAACACGATAAATGGATTGACAAACCATTACTCACCCCAGTTCGGAGAGCTTGAGGTGGGCCTCCTTGTAGTCTTCAAAGAAAGCCTTCTCATCCTAGCAGAATTGGGGAAAAAAAACACAATCAGTATCATGTTCTGGCATATCTCTGCAAAACGAGGAACACAAGATGCAAAACGTGGAACACAAGATGATGATTGATAGGAGACATACTGCAGCATATTTCTCGACGAGTGGGCGGAAGGCAGGGTCACTCAGCAGGGCTTTGTCACTAGGAAGCTGAAGAAGGCCCTCCTTGTCACCACTCAGAAGCTCCCTATTAAAATCGTCGCGGAGAGATGAGTTCAACATTTTTGTTACCAACTTTGTTCAGCATAAGAACAAAATTCAACCACTCGTAACATCGCTTACGTGAAGTAAGAGTTGTCAAACTGCAGAGGGTTTCTTGTCCAAGGTCCCTCAAAACCAGATCTTTCCTTGTGGCACCTTCCCTGCAGAACAAAGCACAGAAATCCGACATTAGAACATGTACTCCTACATACTGCAGAGGCATACAATGGTTAATAGCCAAACTAACCAGGGTGTGACCGCCAGAGAGGGCAACAATGTCCTGATCACTCAAGCCCATCTGCGCACCGAAGACCTGCCTTAGGTGGTCAGAACCTGGTAAAGCAATCAAGCTCAAAGTGTAAGCAATGGTGCTTTACATGAGGTTTACTAGAACAAGGTCAAAGCAGGATCATATCAGAAATGAAGCATGCAGAAAAATACAACATGCCTACAACAACACAGGAATCATTTGTCAAGTGTGCAGTGGGAAAAACTTCTACCATAACTAAGCATTTTAGATGTGCTACACAGAAATAACACCTCAACTATTGCAGAAACAAAAACATTTTAAAGGATGACTTATTTGCAAGGGTTTCTTTTATGGCAATAGTGGTGAATGTTTCTATAGTTCCTGGAAGAGACTAGTAGTGTAAACTGGCAACATACCCTTGGTAGCATCAGGAAGACGGCCCTCAGGTGGGGGTGCAGGTTTGTCCTGCAAAAGGTCAAGGAAGGATGAAAACAATCTCAATTAACAACACAATGAATATAAAATGGAACATAAAAAAACACTTAATCATCTCTCCATTTTAGAAATAAATATAAAGATGAGCCAGATATGCACAAGCAAATTTTAAGCACTGTATAATGTTACATATATGATATATATTACTATCATCGGTGATATTGTTGAAGGTGCATAATAATTACTGAACATTATGTATTTATAAAAAAAGATATATCCATAACAGTTATTATATCCTAAAACAAGCACCAAGTCACCTTTCTAAAGTTTCCTAAAACATAACATATAGATATATATCGGCCCACTGTTTTTTCATTAAGCTTTCCAACTGCCTTCAGATTGAACCCCTAATTATCATTTTATGTCAATGCAATAAGTTGGGAGGCCCTAATATACTTTATCTGAACCAACTAGACTTGTAAATAATGGATGCTTTCTTAAGTTTATATTCACAAAGCACAACAAATATCCTACATGGCACAATCCAACAGATCAAACTATATCATGCATAGAGAACGGAAACAACCCCGGTCCCCAAGGCTTCTTCCAGGTCCCCAAGGCTTCTTCCATTAATTCAGAAAATAATTGTTTATTTGTCATGGTTTAGAGTATGACATCGATTAGGATGAGAACTACTATCCTGAGTAAAAAATAAAAATGATAAAATGAAAGATCAGTAACTATCAAAACCCTGAACAGGGAAATGCCGCAAACAACCATGGTAAATCAGTGACTACTTTGAGAATAGCCAGACTACAAAGAAAAAGGATAAGGCGACATCCTTAAAAATAATATCCTTGTGCATGAATGGATAACAAACTTCACACCATACAGCATGCATGAAAATGAATCCTATGTGACTCAACTGACACAAACACATGAGCCAACAATAACTAAAAAATAACAATTAGCATGTTTATGGTAAATAAACAAGGTCTTACGGAAATGTAAATGAGGTCACGGATATTTAACCACCTCTAGATCTAGAGGATGTCAAGTAACGCCGACCCACCAACAAGAATACGAACAAACCCAATTTGACGGTATTATCCGGGTATATAATATAGAAAAGTCCGTACTGTTAAAATATTATTATACTGCTGGCCTTAGATTAGTGGTGATCACTTTGTCTACTCTCTAGGAACCACCAACCCCCAGTCCCCACAAATGAAAAGCACACACATCAATGGAGCACTAACAAATTACGACTAATCTCGTGGCATCACAAACAAATCCACACGCCATCCAGTTTACCACTGCCATATCAAGGCCTAACTAGAACCCTGAGAAAAACCCCAAGAGTTGAAAGGTAATAGGAAATCTCACCTCCCTTCCTGGGTGGAAGGGGACGGCAGGTCCACCGGACACCTCGACGGCCACAACTCCGGCAAGCTGCGCAAAAACAACGGGGAAAAAACATCAGAACCACGTCCGTTTGACCAGATCGGGGCCGTCCATCCAGATCTATCCGGGGCTCGCGGCGAACCTGGTAGAAATCGGCGTAGGAGATGGTGGGTATCTCCTCCTTGATGGGCTCGAGCATCCGCACCGCGATGTCCAGCCCCGCGTTGGCGGCGTGCGACAGCTCCGCCGGGGTCTTCATCGTCCCGAACGGGCCCCCGGTCTTCGACGACACGTCGAACGTCCCCGCCGAGTGCCACCTGCGCGATCCGTCTCCACAAAAACCGGATCAGTCTACGGAAATCCGCCTCTACACAAAACCTAGAAGCGAGCGAGTGCGAGGGCGACGGCTTACGCGAGGCGGAGCATGAGAGGGGCGCAGCTCTTCTCGGCGATGAGGGCGCGCAGCTTCTGCCTGGCCTTCTCGACGGCCTCCTGGTACTCGGCGCTCACGACGGGGTAGTTCTTAGCCATGGCTGCGGGTGGAGCTCCGAATCGAGGAGGAGGAGGAGAAGAAGGGGAGAAGACGACTCGAAAGGCTTGGGCGAATGGAAGCCACGCTCCCCTTGGGGGTTTATATGGGCCCCCGGCCGAGAGGAGGATGAGGACTGGAGGACGGTGCCACTGGTGCAGTACAAGAGACAATGGAAGCTTCCAGTAGGGCGCCTCCTGGCCGTCGATCCCAGATCACGCGATCCGACGTTGCATATTTGGATGGCCCTGATTGGTCGCCGGAGACGGGGGCCAAAAACTTTGGGGGAAGGTGACATGGGTATAATGGACATTTTCATACGGCGTTAACGGCGTCGGTTCACGCCTCACAGGCTGATTGAACACGTGGCACGCGGCGTTTGGTGATCCTGTTGAAACCGATCCTGAAATTGCTGGATCGGTAAAACGCCGGGCCCGCTATTCTCGGGCAGTGTGCCCCAACCTCCGATCCTACTATTGCTGTCAGTAATTAATTACTGGTCGTATTTAGTTCGTGTGCCAAAATTACACTTTTTTTTTAAGTATACGAAGACACATTTGAGGTATTAACGTTACCTAATAACAAAATAAATTATAGATTTCGTCTGTAAACTACGAGATAAATTTATTAAGTATAATTAATTTGTCATTAGTAAATGTTTTACTTTAGCATCACATTATTAAATCATAGTGTAATTAGGCTTAAAAGATTCGTCTCGTAATTTCCATGTAAACTGTGTAATTGGTGTTTTTCATTCTTATTTAATACTCCATGCAATGAAATTTATAGAAGTTTGAAGGTAACTTAAAAAATACTCCCTCCGTCCAAAAAAAGACAAACCATGGTTTCCGTGTCCAACGTTTGACCATCCGTCTTATTTGAAAAAATTATGAAAAAAATTAAAAAGATAAGTCACGCATAAAATATTAATCACGTTTTATCATCTAACAACAATAAAAATACAAATTATAAAAAAAATTCATATAAGACAGACAGTAAAAGTTAGACACGGAAACTAGGGTTTGCCCTGGCTATGTACTCCTCCCGTGGAAGGTGGGATCCACGCAACTAACCAACATTTACTACTCGTACCTCTCCATCGCCATCCCTAGGCAGCACATGTGTTTGGTACGGTGAAAGTGCTGTACATTTTTTATTATTTTGTCCATGGTGAACGAAGGAAGAACGGTACGACTGGCAGATGAGATGATGGGCCGTGGGTACACCGGAATACCTGAGCTGATTCGTTTCTCATTTCGGTAGTTTGGTCCAAATTTTTCATCTTCTTGTGCCATGTGCGTCTTCCCTTGGATCCTTTTCTCATTTGGGAGCTTGATCTCATATGGAAATTTTGCATGCGTCCCAAAAATTTTGCATGCTTGATCTCATAGTCAGTCAGCTGGTGCGTCCCAAAAATTTCGAGTCTATATTTCAGTTAGGGCCTTTTAGTTCCCAAAAAGTTTTCCCAAAAACATCACATCGAATCTTTGGACACATGCATAGAGTATTAAATTTAAATAAAAAGAAAATCTAATTGCACAGTTATATGGGAAATAACGAGACGAATCTTTTGAGCCTAATTAGTCTGTGATTAACCATAAATGCTACAGTAACCCACATGTACTAATGACGGCTTAATTAGGCTCAAAAGATTCGTCTCGCGGTTTCCCGACGAGTTCTGAAATTAGTTTTTTCATTCGTGTCCGAAAACTCCTTCCGACATCCGGTCAAACGTCCGATGTGACACCCAAAAATTTTATTTTCTCCAACTAAACACACCCTTAGCTGGCGGCAGCCATTGAAAGGGTCGTTTAAGTGGAATGGCATAGCTTCCTTTTGTTACCTTTCACACCCCAAAAAACGAAAATCTTAAAGTCAGATTCCGCACTACAGGTGTGTTGCCTTTTTCTATCTATGTATATTCTCTCACTTACGTATACATCACGAGCTTTGAAAAATGCAAGGACGTCCACGTTGATGGTGAGCGCTGCCAGTCCCATTTTGAGCATGCTCAATGCCAACTTAATGAGAGAATCTATTCTATATCACTGGGTTTGTTCGACTTCAATAATTTACCATTAACATTATCTTTTTCTATAATAAACCAACGACTTTATCAATTATTCTACAATACGCTATTGGGCTGGACCTTCTTCTCAAAAATACCCAAAATACCCTTAGAGACAAACAAGATTAACAATTGATTTATCTCATTAGAAGTTTCAAAAAAATATGAAAATTTTTATATGGCCTTGTTACACAACATGAAAGTTTGTATATACGTTTCAAGTTTTTTCTGGTATATTTAGTTTTTAGAAAAAAAATATATTTTTATGTGGTATATGAGAGAAAATTTGTTTATACGAGAGGTAATAGCAAAAAATATCTTATGTAGTGTATGAAAGATGATTTATATTAAAAAATTAATAAAATGTATTTTATATATCATATAACAAATGAGTTACATTTTTTAAAAAAATATATAAATGTAAAAAACTCGAAACTTCTATACAAACTTTCATGTTGTGTAAGGAGGTCATATAAAAATTTTCATATTCTTTTGAAACTTCTAATAGGATAAATCAATTGATAACCTTGTATGTCTATAAGGGTATTTTGGGTAATTTTGAAAATAGTGTCCAGTCCAATGGCGATTGTAGAACAATTGATAAAGTCGCAGGTATATTATAGAAGGAGACAATGTCGATGGCAAAATGTTGAACTCGAACAAACTCAGTGTCAATGTCGATGGCATGTGAGACGGAAGAGGAGAAAGAGAGGAGACAAAGTAATCCTATTTTATTCTTGTAGGTAAGCATTATGTATATGAATAGCTCGTCATCCTAAAAAGTAGGAAAAAGTACTATATACCCCCCTAAACTACAATACTGGACATTTGACACCCTAAACTTTTAAAACCGGATAAATTACCACCCTAACTCCATTCGAAGCAGTTTTCAGCCTACGTGGCACACACATGGCGACACAGTCAGCAAAAACAAATAAAAACAGGTGGGGCCCACATGTAAGCATATTTTTTTCTCTCCTCCCCCCTCTCTCTCTCTGTCAGCGAGCAGAGGCAGCTGGCGGGCGCGGAGCCGAGGCCGGAGGCGGGCGAGGAGCCAAGGCCGCGGCTGGCGGGTGCAGAGGCGAGGTCGGCGGGCCGGGTAGAGGCGGCTGCAGGTGGCGGGCAAGGAGCCGAGGCCGGAGGCAGGCGGGCACGGAGGCGGCGGCGGCGGCGGGTGCGGAGGCGGCTGCGGGCGGCAAGTGACAGGCGAGGAGGCCGCGGTGGGGTGCGGGGCGAGCTCGGGCGGCCGGCGACCGGCGGCGTCGCGGGAGGCTGCCGCGGGGTGCGGCGCTGTGGCGGGAGGAAGGCGGCTGCCGAAGTAGCAGCTAGGGAGCGAGCTTCGCACCAGTGGATGAGGCGAAGGCGGACCGGGCAGTCGGCGATGGCCAACGGAGATGGAGGCCGGCGCCCGCCTCACCGCCATGTCCTCCGCCGTGCGCGGAGCTCGCTCCCCTTCGACCTCTCATTCCACTTCCATTTCCTCCCCTTCCCAATCCACCTCCGCTCCCCCTCCCCGCGCGCCGCCGAGTGCGCCGACGGTCAGCCCACTCCCGCGCGCCACTGCCCACCGGCCATCCCCGTGCGCCGCCGTGCGCGCTGACGATCGGCTCGACCCCGCGCGCCGCTGCCCACCGGCCGTCCCCGCGCCGACGCCCACCGGCGCTACCCACCGCCTGTCTCCGCCGACTGGGTTGATAAGTGGGTCCCACCATTTTTTATTTGTTTTGGCTGACAAGTAGGGTCCCATATATTTTTTATTTGTTTTACTGACTAGAGTGCAATGTATGCATCCACGTAGGATTAAAACTGCCTTGAATCGCCCGGGGGGTAATTCATCTGGTTTATAAAGTTTAGGGTTTAAAATAATTGATATTGAAGTTAGGGGGGGTAAATCGGACGACCGCAATTGTTCAGGGGGTAATTCGTACTTTTTCCTAAGAAGTATTATATGAACTACTTACACAATGTATAAATATTACTTTAGAGGCTTAAGATCTCCTCCTATTGCTACATTGTGGTTGCCCTAGGAATGTTCATGTCTATTTAGAACAAAGGAAAAGATAGATTCTAAAGGTGTGTTTAGTTCACGTCAAAATTGGAAGTTTGGTTGAAATTAGAACGATGTGATGGCAAAGTTGGAAGTTTATGTGTGAGGAAAGTTTTGATGTAATGGAAAAGTTTGAAGAAAAAGTTGGAACCAAACCAGGCCTAAAGGGATTTTTATCATATAGTGAATTTTTCTATAAAATATTTTCATAACAAAGGTTTGATTCATACTATACCATCTTTCCAAACAAAAAGATCAATGTTGTTGATCGATTTTATCGGCCCACTGCCGAAAATAATTAGGGAGAAGGCAAAACCGTCGTCATGTCCTTCCCGGTTAAGAAAAGAAAAGAATAAAATTTATTTGTGTGATCGATGATCGATATACAAATAGAAAATGAATCTACGCCAAATTATAAACCTAAATCGCTCAATCGATATAGACGCTGAAAGAGGTTCATATGACGGTCTCCAACTAGTGTCGTTGCAATTTTCAGAAGGGTTTACATCAACAGAGAATGCTGACGATTTCAAGTAGATCTAACTGACGCTCTTGCTTCCCTATGCTGTAAACAGAGAAACCAAAAAAAAAGAATGGGAAGAAATAAGGGAGGAAGAACCACAAGTAGAATAACAATGGCTTCATAAGTAGGTCAGAGTTGAGATCAATTAAGCAGATGTAATCTTGTTTACGCCAAGACTAAAAACTCAATCAAACTCCAACAAATATCAGATCCGGCAAGGCACTTGTGGAATTACTTGAGTTATGGCCCTTTCGCCATGTTTTTAACTGAGTAGTGGGTATTTTTATGGTTACTAGATTCCTATATCAATTGCATAAATCATGTCTGCCACTAAGCAGTACTATTATATACACGGTGCAAGCTTATATTAGATCGCAAGTTTTAGTTTAAGCGGAGAAGCTTAACACATGTGTGGCACACCCGCCATACAATACAATAACCCCCCGAAAAAAAG